GGAGCGATGCAAAGGGAGAAAAAGAGAAAGAGACGCACGTGTCCTGCGCGCGTGTATTAGTAACGCGTGTGTGGCGCGTGTCAGCCTCTACACGCATGCTGCCGATGCGCTCGCTTGTTGCGAGGGAAAAATAGAGTTGCAACGAGAGTCGCCGCTCGCTCGCTCAGGGATATTTTAACCACCCCGCTGTCGGAAGTAGAGTTTTAAAGCGTCGTTAATGCTTTAACGTTAAATTATTCCGCGGGCCTCTCGACCGAGTCGGAGTCGACCCTATTTCCAGCGTTAAATAACTCGGCGGGCGTTGTCCGAACTCCCCTCATTTTTTAATTGATCTCGGCCGTTCGATTTTCGCGACGAAAGAATGCATCTCTCGAATGCATCGCATCCCAGACAGCACACATGTCCAAAAGACATCTAAAAGACTACTTAAAGACGTCTTAAAGTCCTTTAGACGTCTTTAAGACGTCTTTTGGCCTTTTTGTGCTGTATGGGATTCTACGCGTCGGTTTTCCGAAACTGACATGAGCTGACCGACCATGTCTCGCCCGCGAACTTCTTCATCTTTACTGGCCGCGTGTGGGTTTTCCTGGGAAACGATTACAAAATGTTAGAGTCTCCATTCAAGCCTACGGGCGACATACCAGGGATAATTTATTACCGGAAATTTCTTCCCTGTAGTTGCGTCATCGCACCTGGTTCTACGCCGCACGTAGGAACGGATAGACAAAGTCACGTTTTCATATATAAAAGACCCTGCGGCTATGTATACTATAGTAATGATCGATCTGGAGGACACATTTCATAGCGTGTATTTGAAAGCAAAAGAACATTGTGCGTGGGTATCATTATGTTCGATCTCGATTTTATTTGGTTCCATCTTTCTTTTGCGTCGCAATACGTAGTATTTTGCATAATTTATAAATTTTAACGTAGCGATTTGAGAGTTTAAAGTATACAAAAATTGTATATGTTTTTATATTCATATGCTAACTATAATATTAAAATTATAATTTATTATAATTAGTCTTATTATTATTAAGATATATGCGTATCTATAATTCAATAAACATATTTGTTAATTCGCGAAATTCTGTAGAGGAATAAAAAGGAAATTGAACAATTTTTCGAATTTTAAAAGTATTGTTTTTAAACAATATTTGGATATTTGTTTATTATTTTGCAAATTTATTTTTCTTTAAATAAATTACAAAAGATTCAAAATTACTTTAAGCTAGAATTGTTAATATGCACGACTCTCCGTCTGACTTCTGCGACTGATTCACTCGCGAGATATTTGTGGGTCGGAGAGCTGGTTCTGCGTTGAAGATTTTCACTCTGCGGACGCGTGGGGTAAGGGCGGCGACTTGTCCGAAAAGGATTTACGATCGACAAAAACGCACTCTCGCAGAATTTCGCCATCGCGACCAGCCGACCGTTCGAAGCGACGAGAGAGTCGGTCCTTTCGATTTCGTTCTCGTTGCGAGATTGCAACTTCTCTCGAGACTCTCCGACTCTTGCTGTGGGAAAAGAGCGAAGATAAAAATAACAATTTTCGATGACCTCCTTGGTCGCTGAAAAAAAGAAAGTGCCTAAGTCTGCGTTCTGGGAGAGAAATCAATTCAACACAGTGATATTTATTAAAATGTCAAGATATAATTATGCCAATAGTATTATATAAATTTGTCGATTGTCAGTTATAAATTTTCGCGATATTACGTGCAATAGCAAAGCTTCTCTCAAAATTTGCAATTATTTATAAATGCGTTCGAATAAAGGTGAATTAAATTAAATGAGAATGAAATTAAATGTAATTGAAATTTAAAGATATATGGAATAGAGGAGATTGTCGATTTTGTAATATTACATAAGATGATATAAGATATGCTTGATTAACACGCAGACGCTAGATCTATATCTGTTTTCAAGACGGCCGCGAACTTCATCCTAATTTTCATGCTCGCACGTTGCATGCTAGTGAATGGCGAATGTTATAGGGTCAATGGCGCGTAGAAACGGCGCCGTAGCACCGTAAACAGATTCGTATTCTTAGACAGGATTTTAGGGGTCAGCCACCATACGTCGTTAAGCCATTAACGATGATATAAAATCCCCTCGCTAACGCACGCGATGATGTTCCGCAATTTCCGCGCTGTTTATTCAGCGTTACTGGTTGATCAAATTGCGAGTATCTGCTTCAGAAGATTCTGCGCATAATAAGCGAAAATAGCGATTGATTTCGCGAGCATTTCATTATTAGATTCGTTTTTTTCGTCATTGATAATTTAACTTAAGTAATAAATTATAATAACTTGAAAAATTGAGATGATAGATATTTTGATTCGATAGTAAAGAAATGTTATGGATATAAAACCTTTTTTTTCTACTTGAATTTCAAGATGTATGTTTTCGAAAGTATGTATTATATTTAGGTATGATATAAAATGACTGATAAATATATAAAATACGTACTTAAAAAAACATATTATTAGCTCGGAAAGCAATCAAACTTTTATTATTTTTATAAGAGCTATCTTATGTGTGTGTCTGACCATAATATCTGTATCTACTATCGAATCAAAGTATATCGCTATTTTAGTTTTTTTGACATAGATAGATATAATATTCGAAAATACAAGATTGCGGAAGCTAAAAGCTTAAGATTATGCATAAAAAATACAGAAACTGAGTAATAAAAGTCAAATTTTGAGATGAAAATTTTATTTCAAACAAATTCATAATTTTCAAGGATACTTGAAATTATTTTGATAGAAACCATGTTTATAGACAATTTTTTCGTATTTTCAAAAGTACAGAATATAAAATCCAATTTTCTAACAAAGTTTTCTTCAATGTTTGTAGCTTATTAATTACTCGCATTCTTATCTCACGATTTGAGAAGCGGATTCGCGCATCACGAGCATACAAGTTTTCGAGCGCATAAGTTGGCATGTAACTATGAAGAAATCCCAAAGCGAAAGTGAGAACGCGTCTCTTCGTCGTCTTCGCTGTCATACATATCCAGCTTTTAGCGCACAAACTCCTACTCATGCTGCTGTCAGTGAAAACCGCACCGATGCGATAGCCCGTAGAATGGAACGCGAGGGAAATGAGGAAAGTCGGGCACCGATGAAAGTGAGAGGACGCCGGCTACAGGGTGTCTCTCAGGCAGATTATTCCGCAGTCGATCGCGAGAGAAAGGGGTTTACTTCTAAAGCTTAAATAAACAAAAAAAGAATTATTCATATAATTATTATTTTTGGAAAACATTATTTCATATACAATTTTTTACATAAAACTATTTAAAAAAATCAATGCCTTTCATGATTGTTGATATTAATTTGTACTCGTTCGTTTGGTTCTGGATCAGGCTTAATAGAATGGCTAATCCAATCAGATAATTGATAAAAATGAAAAGAATGCAATGATATATACCTCTAAGTAAGACAGAATAAATCAATTTTTTAATGATAATTAAGTGTTCAAAATTCATAATCATTGTTAAAAATCACATAGCCAAAATCCGCATTTTTCTATATTAAAACGCAAAAATTCAAAATTAACGAGCGTCGAGAAACTTTTCGAAATATCTATTTTCTACAAAAACTCAACCCCGGTCGATTTATCTCTTATTTTTTCAACGCCTAAGAAACGCTTATCATGCTCGTTGACAATAACATTGTCAACCGTCGACGAAAGCTAAGCAACATACGGGCATGCGCGCCCATATGTCACGATCAGCTGATCTCCAATCAGCTGATCGAAAAAGATCGTGCGCATGACAAGTGTAAAAATCTTAACTCCTGACCTCATCGGCGGCCAATAATGCGCGGCGCCCTAAGGTCACCACTAAAATATAAAATTAATTGGTTCACGTCGCAACGGGCCCAAAAATTCCACTCGCTATATAATGGGTACCACGCGTGGACCCACCGAAGTCTGGCACCGAAGTCTGGCACTTTCGGTATGGCTATTATCGATAAAGGTAATATTATAGGCTCGCTCTTGTAAAACCGCTCTCTTGTTAAATATATCGCTCGCTTTAACCACTCAGGTCGCGGTTCGTAAAGTTGTCGGATTAACTTCTCTGTAAATTATTGTACATATTAACTTTTTTTTAATAATTGTGTGGTGTGTTGAATAAAGAAAAAAAACTTGGAAAATACAAAAAAATTTACATGCCGTGTGAGGTCATTTAGCTTTAGTACTTTGTCTGTGCCAGTCCGTCCATCACTCTCTCAAATTTCTGCGCTGTCGCGGCAACCCGCAGTCGTTCCGCGAACATTAAGTAAATAAATAATTAAAGAAAAATAATTTTAGTAACGTCTAGATTGTTTGAAAACGTATTTTTTGGGTAAATTTTTTAAAATGTATCCGTGAAGAATAACTGCAGCTAATACATATGTAGTAAATAGAATTTAGTTTTGTTGGAAAATGAGAAAATGCGTCAATGGAAATTTTTACATTTGCATGAGAAAAAATGACTTATACATGATATGAATAACTCATTTTTAGAATAATTTTTCAATAGAATTTTCTGAATAAATACGTGTTATAGACTCGTTCTGCGTCAGTATAAGTTTATTTATAAATCAACATTTTTATTTTTATATCAACAAAGTAAATTTCTTGCAAGATTATTTCTCTCAGTTGCGTTCGTAATTTAGATCTAGGATTCTTGCAAAATAGATTGCGGATCGATATAAACATGCTCTATCCCGTACGTTGATAAACAGATTAAATCGCAGAGAGAGAGAATTGAAATAGTTAAGATAACGATTATTACAAACGCTAAAAATTAATGATTTTGATTTATGAAATATCATAATATCGTATTATTTATGAAATATCGATACATGTAATTTTAAAAACATTAAGAATATTATTAATTTTACATTAATATTATTAATTAATTTACATTAAGATTATTAATTTTGAAGAAATACGCCTTTTATTTGTCTTTTTTATTATACGTGTCTAATATTTTTTCCTTCTGGTTACAGATTGACCATACGAATGCCAGTCTTCTGAGCGGACAGAAGATTTCGAGGAAGAATCTCGGCTAGAGTTGGTGAAGGTACAAAAGACGCAGGAGGAGCGACTATTGTTTCGCGCAAAAAGAAGAATAATGGCAGGCGAGGACACGCAGATCCTGTCGAACGGTAACGTGGAGGCCTTGACGATCATCCCGCCGAATATGGCAAACGGAAACGGGCTGATATGCGGCGGCAAGCAGCACAACAACAACGGCTTGATACCGAACGGGAAGTTGCATAGCGGGATCGGTGCCGTGGAAAATGGCAAGTTGATTGTGCCGGATGAAAGATCGAGCAGCCTTCATACAGAGTTCGACGATGCCGATATTTCCTGCGGATGGGGTCCTTGCAGGCCCCACTGGCTGCAGTACTTCGCTACGAAGCAAGCCTTCCTAGTAACCTTCTGTCTCACCTGGGTCAGTATGTTGAACAAGTGGTTTTATAATTTTCTGTATCACGTGTAGAGATCCATAAATTAATAAGTTTCGTAAATTAGAATGAACAAAAGTGAGTGCAATTTTATAGATTAAATATAAAATATTTTTCGTATTTTGTTAATGTGAATTGACGTAAGATCATTTTCGTTCTCTTTGTCAATATACAGGTGCTGCAGGGCATGTACTACACGTATTTCGTCTCCGTCATCACGACAATAGAGAAGCTCTTCCAGATCCAGTCGAAGACGACGGGCATCATCATGTCGGCCACGGAGATCGGTCAGATCGGATCGTCCCTGTTACTAACGTACTATGGCGGCCAAGGTCACCGGCCCAAGTGGATAGCCTGGGGCATGATTCTCTTCGCCGTGAGCTCGTTCACCTGTTCGTTACCTCACTTTATCTTCGGGGAACAGCTGATCCTTCAAAACGAGATGCTGCTCAGCGGTGTCGGGCCCGGCGGTAACGGCCGCGGGCTTAACAATACTGATCCCATACCGGCAAATCTCTGCAAGTTCCCGGAAAGGAACAACACATTAGACGGGTGAGTGCCATGCTGTCAAAACTCCTCTTCGGTTATTTTCTTCTATTCGTAGATTCTTAATGAGTGACGCCTCCCGGCTAATTTGACAAAGGCTACGGACGATTTATCATAATGAAGAAAGATGTCTTCATTAGCTTAATCTTTGTGATGAAATAGTAGCTAGTTTGACAGTAGTAAATCATCCAAAAATAGAGAATTAAAATTTATTAGTCGTAATTATTTAAAAATTAAATTTTATAATATTTTTAATAATTATATTATAAGTAATATTCAATTAATTATCGTATTATCAGCTTGATTAGCATTATCAGTAAATTTATATCGATTATTTTTAGTTAATTTATCATTATATAGATATTGGATAGAGATTGTCTTTTTTTTAAAGCCATAAAGAATAAAAACAAGCGTGCTTCAATTTTAATATATCTTATTTAATATATCTTTCTATATCTATTATCGTTTTAATATATCTATCTTAAACGTCTCTCTCATTATGTAATCATTATAACTATATTTATATTCTTAATTTATTATTTTTTGCTTAACAAGTCATGAAAGAACTTGTCCATTTATTTATATTCGTTTATTAGTCAATGGAGAAACGTTTATGGCACGATTCGAGAAAATTTATGATCGTTGTCAATTACAATGTGTCCCATGGAAGAATAAGGCAGCATGTAAACGGTCAGTTGTATTACAGTTTTAAGCAGAGATATAAGATATAATCGTTTGCCATAAACACGTGATATAAGGTGGAATATGCCAAAGTAATAGATACGTAGTTTTGCCTTAAAATCGTATTGTACAAAAACCGGTTTGTGTTGTATTTCTGCGTGGTAAGATGCACCAACGGTTTATGATTCGAAGGCAACTAACAAAACGAATTCACGCATTTTACATCATTACACAGATTCTCTTTACTTACATCTTTTAAATCTGTTGCTATTGAAAGTAAGAGATCGAGAATAAAAAAATTAGAATATTTATTTATTCATTTGCTAATATCGCATATAAGAGACAATCCTAAGCTACAAAGAAAGAAATCCATTCTAATAAAATAGAATTATGTCAATTATATTTTTTTGATATCACGGAATTGTGCGTTATGGAGCATACAGTTTCACTTATCGCCATGCTGAGAAAAATGATTATGTATCCGCACAATTTGGGTCGCTCCACGTAGGCGTTAGCTTCCTGATATAATTCCGGAAATAGTTGATTACATGTTTTAACATGAAATAGAATATAATTATCGGTGCTAGATTTAGGTAATGATATGTATATTAATTCAGCTAATATATTTACTTAAATATATAAATACAAAAATAAAAGAGAGAAGGCAGATTTTTTTATAAATTTTAAGATTTCGAAATTGAGATATTATTCTCAAAAATTATTGATTTTGTAGATATAATGATTATATATATAATAGAATTTGATTGCAAATATCAAAAATTTTTTTAGTTATCAAGATTAAGATTTTTTTAATCCCATTTTTTATTTCTTTTTTTTGCTCTCTTTTATTTAGTTTTAATTTTTTAAACTTTCGGACACACATAAATATATAATACCTTTAATATCACTCTAATGTGTTTACTTTTTTTATTTTTTTATAGTACAACATACGATAAATATACATACGAGAGATTATCTAAAATTAAGTAATATTTATGTTAATGTTTATATCAAGAATGTTTATTTCGTCGAAAAAGTATGACACTTTATAATCAATTTTATTCTAATCTCATCTGATTTTCTTGAAGATGGAATATATCGACGCCAGCATCGCAGACCGATTCATCGGAATATTGCAAAGGTGATTTTCTCAGGGAGCAGAGAATACAGAGCAAGATAACTACGGTGGTGCTTGCAATATTTTTCGTATCATTGCTCGGCGTAGGAATGGGCCAAACAGCAGTATATACACTTGGTATACCCTACATCGACGACAACGTGGCTAGCAGAGAGAGTCCTTTATATTTCGGTAAATTCTCATCAATCTGCAAAAGTTATAATAGTAACTTTTATCTTTTTTATATATTTTTCATTATAATAGACATATGAATATTATATTAAATTTCTTTTAATGATAATCAGTTTTCTATTTACTCAAGCTATTCGAATATTTACGTCTATTAAATTTCATTAAAAAAACACTTCATAATTTTTATAAATGTATTTATCATTATTATAAAAATTATTATATTTGTAATATGTAGATTATATTGATATTTATTTATCTTTTTCTCACATGATTATTGTTCGCAATATGAAATAATAAAAAATATATTAAAATTATATATTAAATTATATACTAAAAACAAAATCATTTGCTTATGTGCAATAGCAATTACTATTGGGGTGCGGATTCTCGGTCCAGCATTAGGCTTCATTCTGGGTTCCTTATGCACGATGGTTTATGCGGATTTGACAAGGACTCCACAAATCACGCCGACGGATCCAAGATGGGTCGGTGCTTGGTGGCTTGGTAAGTTTATGATAAATCGTAATATTTATCAAAATTAATGACTAACTTAGTTCCAAAAGCCAATGATGTTCTTTTTCTAAGCTGATTAAAGAGAAAAATACTCTCTCTTTGCAAATAATTTCGTTTCAGTTTATAGAATTAAATATATAATTGATCTATCATGATTTTTAATAAAGCATTTAACCTTTGATTCGAAGTAAAGATTTAAAAAAAAAATTTGAAAAGAGAGAGAGAGAGCTAAAAATCGCTCGACCTTCATTGTTCAAATTGCGCAGTTAGTACTGTACAATCAGCTATTTGCGTTTATTACGTAGTCATGCTTCGTCTTTCGTGCTTGTTGTCATATTGAAAAATGTCTGGCGACATAAAAAATAATTTTTTCAAGTGTGATGGGAAAATATTCTCGTCACTTTCATGATCGAGCAGAAACATTTCGCATTGAATTATTCTTATTTATCGCAATAACAGTATTAAATGCAACACATATTATATCAATTTTGTATAAAAATAATTATAAATATTATTATAATTATATAATATAAAATTTATATACATATAGGCATAATTATTTATTATTGCACGTCGATTGACAAATGTTAAGGAATAAAATCGTATGTTTTACATAAAAAAATTATTTCTTAGCAATTTTCAATTAGTTTAATTATGTATCTTCACAGAAAAAGAACAAAAAGCTTATTATCTAAATAGCGATATATCTATTTATATATCCGAATGATTCTTTCCTTGTACAATAACTTCAATTCAAATATTACATACAAAAAGTTCTATAAATTTTTATTTAATATTTTTTGACATATCTCTGTCGATAATATTTAGTGTATTAAACGTCCTTAGGATTAGTCTCTTAAAGATGTCTCTTAAAAATAAACAAACTTTGATACACACATGATAAATATTTATATAATAATCGTTTGTATGATAAAGTAGAGATATAAACATGAAAATCTCACAGTACATGATAAAATCATCATCATTTCAAAGTTAACAGTACAGTCGCAAGCATTACAAATAAATTTACACAACGAATAATTAAACATTTCAAAGACACTATTGAAAAGAAAAACCATTAAGAGTAATAAAAATAAGAAAAATGAGGGAAATCGACTTGTGTGAACTGCTCCGTCGAACAAAGGAAGAGAGGAGAGAAATTATTATTATGTATGAGAACGGTGATTCAGAGTACAAAATTTCTCGTAAGACGAAGAAACCAGTAACAAAAATTAGAATTATTATTTATAAATACAAAAAAATGAAAGCATTAATTCAACGTAAGGAAGTACTTCAACGCTCACTTAACGAAAGTGATTTACAAATGATTAAAGAAGTGTCACCTGATATGATAAATTCGATATGCAAGATGATATCTATTGAACTAGAACAGCAATTAAGTGAAAAAGAGACAAAAATTCAAATGATAAAAAATAGAAAAGTAACTGCAGAAAATTGTGTAGAGAACTTAAAGAACTTGGCGAAATGTAAAAAGAGGATTAGAGACATATACAAATTCATTGGAACATATAAAAATTTATTGTAAGTTATATGTAAAAAACATATATGTTAAAACAAATTTATATATATATATATATATATATATATATATATATATATAGAATAGTCTATACAAAGGCTTATATATTTATGTCTATTTTTCTATAAAATATTGTGACATTTTTTCATAAAACTTAGAAAAGAAGAAATATAAAATTTTTATATCTTATTTACGCATTTTCCAAGGACGTCTAAAAAATATATAATTATATATATATATATATATATATATATATATATATAATTATTTATATAATGAACTTCTATTATAATAAATAGAAAATTATGTAACATTTTTAAATTGAAGTTAGTTCATCGTACGAATATTTTTTACTTTTATTTGTATTTCAACGAATATTTCTCTCGAAGATATTTGATAACATGAGAAGGAAGGGGAAGTACATTACTGTGATCTAATTTATTTGGATAATCGCTGTTTCGCTATAATCCACAATTATATCGCGAGACAATATTATTTATTTTTTGAGAATTAACTCTTTTTTCACATGATGTTTCAGGATTAGTTTTAATCTCAGCAATGCTGATGTTTGTCAGTATTGGAATGTTCGCATTTCCGACGCGTTTGCCGAAGAGCAGGACACCGCCTCGACGAGCGGATGCCAAGAAGCCCAGTCTCCGAGGTAAGTCCTGATTTATCTTTCGAGATTTGCTCCGATCGCTCTCGTTGGCCGTTTCGGCTGCGTGGCATTAGCTTAATCTGTTTTTATGACTCGCCGTAAGCTGCTTCGTAGCAAGTTTCATCCCTTCCTTTATTATCTCTCTAGCTTTCTCTCTATCGCATGATTTCCTGCGTGAAACGTCTAAAAGTCCTCGAGGAAAGGATAACTAGCGCAACCGCAGTTTGATTATGATATGGGTTTATTCTCGTTGCTGAAATGCGCGCCAGTAAATATAGGGCATACGTCATTGCTTTCTCTCTTTTTGCGATTGCAACTCGTGATTTGCGATTCGATTGTGATATCTCGATATCTGATGATAATTTATAGCGTATCGTTGCCTGTGATGATATTGCATCATCATGAAAAATTAAATAAGTCTCATGAAAATAGAAGATTATGAATAAAAAGAACCATTTTGTGAGTAAAGTTTCAAAAATGCATAAATTTAGAAAACGAAAAATTTGATTTTCTTTTAATTACATATAAATATAATTTTTAATTTAATTGTTAAGACATATAATTATGTTATGGAAAAAAGTTTTTTTAATGATTTGATAGATCCGAAACCCTCATATATATTTTTATAGATGGAAATGATGGGATTATGCGTAAAATTCAATTATTCTATAATTATTACATTCAATATAAAAGTATTGCGATAAATATTTGAAAAAACGCAGAGCATGATTATTGTTAACAGCAAGTATTTTTGCTGAAACGTTCTCACCGAAAGGTGAAATTTTGCACACTTGCCATAGTATCGAAGGTTAACGAGAATGCAAATAAAAGTCGGAGACACAATGTGCTCTTCGGAAGTAAATCGGGAACTTACGATTTTTGCATACAATCTGTTCTTTTGTGCATCAAGACAACGATATATCGACGTTCTTTTTTATGCATCTGTTGATATATTTTTTTTTTCAATTTATTAATTTAATTATGTCAATTTAATTATTTTTTTTCTTAATTTTACTTGACACTGTAATTAAAAGATAGAAATAAAAAAGTATGAAGATTATTCAGAGATAGTTTCTAATTATGTTACGAATACATATATTGAAATAAAATCGTAATTGATTTATTGTTGAGGTCAATTTGATGCCCCAAAAGAAACGCTAAATTCTTTCGACACGCAGACTCTTTTTTCCCTCATTACTATTCTGTAAATTTATTTGTAGCATACTTTTTTATTTTAATCACGAAAAAACATCTAATGTCTTTAGAGCACGATTATATTGTGAATAACACAAATACATATAATTGATCTATAACAAATCATATTTTTAAATCGCCTTGTTCATTAATTCACGCAACAAGATGAATCATTATCCCACATTCGCAGTTATATCGATATTTCGCGCAAAATTTCGCGATATATCATCATTCCCCTTTGTCGCCTAATGCGATTCGATCGGCTCTATCGGTATGCGCATAAAAGGAAGAATAAACCGAACAGAGATGATCTCTCAAGCGTGAGTCCCCCAGTGATCCAAGGTCAATAGCGAATTTAGGTGGCGAGAGGAAGATGCCCGATGTCGCCTTTGCCTATACATAGTATAATACGTGCGTCAAACCGGGAAAGTACGACCGAGATTTGCAGCTTTCGACACACCTGTAAAAAAAGTTGGGCGCATGATTAGCCTTTCCTTGATGGAGAATCATCTCCTCGAGCGAATCTCGCAAATTCGGCGACCGTGAATAATCGACCTCGTCCCTGATTAGATTTTTGCGCGCGCGGATTATTTTTTGTTATTTTGCTATCGCAGTTTTCAGCGCTAAACATGCGCTGTCAGAAATGGCTCTTTGAAGACGGTGCTTCATGCTTCGTTTGCGATCCAATCACCTTGACCTGTTTAGCCTCTGATTTCTCCTAAACCGCTCAAGGTGCGTCAACAGAAATTTAATACATCGTCAAATTAATGCGCGTTTATATTAAAATTGTTATATATATTGAGTAATTAAATAAATATTATTAATTAATTCTGGAATACTATATTAAATGGCATAAACATATGAATAAAATATTATTCATATCTTTTTTCTTATAAAAACTTTTTTGAAATATGTTTATATGTATAATATGTAATATAATATACATATATAATAAAACCAATATAAATCAAAAATGGATTTAAAAATGCATTTTATTTTAATTTTCAATTTTTGACAAAACAAAATGTTTATTCATATAACATTTCAAGTTAAATAATATTTGCAATTAATACGCAAGGACTAAAAATTAATTTAATAATATTAATGTGTGTAAAATATTTTATAAATTTGGTTTTTATGGTAAAATAAAAAAATAGGATAAATAAATGAGCTTAAAAAATTGTAGATCTTAAAATTAAATACATAGAATTAAATAATTATAACTAATAACTAATATAATTATAACTAATTATAATTATAACTAATAACTAATATAATTATAACTAATAATTATTATATATATATATTTTTTTTTTTAAATATGTGCCAAAATAATTTACTTTCTCTCTCTTTTGATATTTCAAAAATTCCTCATTAATTACACAAATCATCATACAACTCAGCAACAACTTGTAGCTTGTTCCGAAAGCCCTGAAATCATCGGATGCTCCTTTAACGGACCCTCGACACTCGGGGATGGCTCGTTCACCCGTGTGCGTTACACGCGCGTGTGCGTCACGTGCGTGTGTACGCGCGTGAGCGCGCACGCCGCCGCTTTCTCTGCGTGTGTGCGTTAATAATAATGACTGACCGACTCGTGCACCGAGGTGGGGCAAGTTCACGGTCACGCGTCGTGTATAGAAGCGGTGGTGGACACGCACGCGCGTACGTTTTGCGCGTGTACGCGGACTAACGTGCGTGTGTCTCTCACTCTGCTCCTTTTTTTTGCGTTTTTTTTAAGTTCTGTCTCTTTCTCGGCCCCCTTCCCCATCTCTCTCTCTATGTCTTTTTATATATATGCGTTTGCCACAAGCCGTATTATTTACATATCGTCGCGCTTAATTTGGCGAATCACCTACGCAAAAGCCTTTTTTAATGCGTCTAACTTTTTAACTCGCATGTCTAGTGTTTTATTTATTATCGGACGCATTATTATACCTTGTTTCAAGCGAGTTTTTAATTTACATATATATGATGAATATTTGAATATGTTTTAGACAGAGTTTATTTTCGCAAATCCGGATGTCTTATACATATTGTTTTTGGAAGTAAAGTAAAGTAAATGATAGTTAAATATGTATCTCGAATTTACAACAATTAAAATTTGGTAGAAGCCGTCTCATAGTATTTTAATCTCGCTAATTGGATTGCACAAAAGTTATTAGATGAATTTAATTGCTATTATATCATTAAATTTGATGAACACAATTAAAACATACTTCTATGCATTAATTTGTATTGATCGTGTTAATTTTCTTACATATCTCGCGCGTTAATTGCTAATTTTAAGAGAAAGTTGCAAAATTGAAAATCTGTCCGAAATAAACGAATATGTATTACACGGTGATCGGCACAACGTACGCATTCGGACCTTTAAAGGGCATTCTATACGATAATACTCGGAGCGCAATGTTAGTCACGTTTGTCTACTCATGGTCTGTGGGACGTCCCTATGCGGAGTTGCCACGACTTGTAGCTGGGCTTACTCGGATGCCTAGAAGACTTCTAGGCAGTCCTAGGTATGTAGCTTCGTTTGCACGCACAAGGTTACGCATATACTGTACACACGCTATAGTATCATGCGAAAAAGATGCTCGACTGGTCTGAGTAGATAAATTAACATAACGTTCAGAAAGAGAAATCAACAATGTATTTATTTAGTTTCTCTTTCGACTGAGCGAATTATAAAATGAATTAATTCCTTGACCTTATTTTCCAATTTGAATAAATTTAACTTGGAAATACAATACATTTTTTAAGATTTTAATTAAAAAGACGTTATTAATTTGGAAATACAATAAATTTTTCAAGATTTTAATGAAAAAGACGTTATTAATTAAAATGACGTTAGAGTTTATTTGAGCAAATAGATTAAAATAGTCGTCAAACAGAAAAACAACTGAGAAGAGGAAAATATTTATTTAGCTTTTCTTTTAAATGAGAAAAATGTAAAAATGATTAAATTAATTGAAGTAAATTAATCTTTTTTTATTTGATCTCCGATTTCAATAAATCTGATTTCGATCTAACGAATAAGAATGCATTAGGGATTGTGTAGAATTTTTAATAATCCAAATTTTTTATTTAAAACATTTTTTAAAATCCATTTTATAATTTTGATATTAACTAATTAAATAAATTCCAAGTTAATTCCAAAGTGCTACTTCTATCTATACATTTACATTATAGCAGATATTTAAAAGGAGACGAGTTTCTTATCTTAAGCTTTACTACTTACCCGACTCATCGAAAACGAAGAGAGACACATGCGAATATTCTCTCGTTCGATTCGATCGTAAATTGATGAGAGGAAGAGACTCGCAAACATTTAGCGAGTCTTGATAATAATTTCGAATGTTTCGGATGTTTTCTTAATCGATCCTAGACTGTTGGCGAACTATAAGCGAGTTTCCAAGCAAGTCTACATATACATTTCAATGGGTCAATACGTTTGGTCGTTCGAGCGGGTATATCTTCGTCTGGCAGGGACGCGTATAAAAGTCTACGCGTTTGCGACGCATCGATCTCCACCGATACGTATGTTAGGCGAAACTGCCAGTATATGTCTTTATCATTGTCGTTATTGAAGTCATCGATATTAAAATCGTTTGTTGGCGGAATCAGCACCAAAGACGTCTATCACGTATGGCATAAGTTCCTTCTCTTTTACCTTCTCTCGGCGTGAAACTTTTTCTCCTTTAGTCTCGCTCTCACTTCGTCCACCGTCGAGTTTTCTTGGATGCTCGAGGAAGGATATAATACGGGAGAAGAGAGGAAAGATTGCCAAGGCTAATTAGCTCGTCCCTCGTAATCGAGCTCGTAAATATACAAAGAATTGCGGTAGACTCCATCAGATTTGTAGAGAATAAGTGTACGGCTTGAGTAGAGACAGAGAGATCAGGCAAGACCGAGACTAATAAGAGATAACCATGGTCATTTCAGAGTCCGACTAGAATATCGCTAAGTTTTACGTAATCTTCGCCCATGAAACGTGTAATATGTTGAGTCGATGACCGATATGTCGCACATACGATATGAGATTCATTTGTTTAGAATGGTTACAATTAATTAAAAGACATGCATAGTTATCAAGATATTTGACGTCAAAACTTCAAAGGAAGGATATGGCCTTCAATTACAGAGCGAAAGAAATATCTCTGTTTGTCAAATATGCATTTACAATCAAATAAAGTTTTATTACAATATCGAGTAACATTATTATTAGATTCTATTTATTTATATTTATTTTTCATGAAAGATAAAAGATGGTTTTTTTTTATAATTGATAATAAATATTTCTTCCTTATTGAACGATAATTGCTCCTTGTCATTTCGTTGATAATTTATATTATTCTGTGTGTAAAATTTATCAGGACAAATTAAGTATGTGATCAATTATGTGAATTGATAATTATATTAATTTTTATATTTATAAGCGTGCTATAACATTTTGATTGCAGATTTTCCGAGTGCAGTGAAAAGACTACTGAAAAACGATATACTGATGTTCAGGACAGCAAGTAGCGTGTTGCACATCTTGCCGATCGCCGGTCTTTACACTTTCCTGCCAAAGTACCTCGAAAGCCAATTTCGTCTGCCAGCTCATCATGCGAACATGATCTCAGGTAATTATCGCGAATGAACATGCAAGTGGATCTCGAATGTATGTACACTCAATTATACATTCCAGCCAGAACGAATTCAAGAAAAAAATAATTTTTTCTTTACATTTTTCTTAATGTTTCTTAATGATTTTAAAGTCTCAAAAATGGTTTATTTGAAAATTTTTTAAGTTTGAATAAACAGTTTCGAAAATGTTGATTAGATTATCTACATTTAATTCTTAATAGTCTCATTTACAAAATTTTTTCCGCAATATTTAGTTGCAAAAATATTTTTAATATTGGTAACAAATTCCATTTGAGAATTGAAAATTTTAACAATATACTTAATGTTGAATGGATAAAGTTATCAATACATTATACTAGTATAATATAATAATAGTATAATAGTAAACGTTAAAATAAAATAAACAATAAATAAATAATCTTTCCTCATAATTTTAAAATCAAATTTTTAAAAATGTAACATTTTGATAGCCTGAGTTGTATTTGATGAAATTATTATTCTCTCTCTTTCTCTTTTTCTTTCATCAAATTTAATCATTCTCTCTATTTTTTCCCTAATCTAAGAAAAGTTATTTTTTTGTTGAATTGTGTTATTAATGATAAGTATTGTGAGAGCGATGAATCATGTGTGGAGTAACAGCAAAAGTTTTTGAAAGATTGGCAATGTCGCAAGATTTTGCCACTGAATGTCCGTCGTGATTACGATGTAAAGTGGACAATTTGACGTAAATGACACAACGGATATGTTATTCCACCGAAAAGAATTATCCTCTCATTTCCTTTATTGTACAGAAATTTGTGATGCGAAATTTTTTTTTGTTGGTCAATTATACTGAATTACTTACTTTGCTTTTAACTTTAATTTTTTTATTTCATACAATTCAAGAAAGATAATTTTATATATAAAATTAATAAATAAATTTTATATATAAATACTAAAATTAATAAATAATTTTATATATAAACAAATATATATATATATATATATATATATATATATATATAACAATTTGCAATAACATTTTATAGTTTTAATTTAATTTTTTTATATTTAGGAATGTTATTTAAATTAATTAATAATATATAGAAGTTAATGTTACGAATGAACAATTTGATAATCCGCAGAATAAATTCGCGTATCTCAGTATTAATTGTATGATGCCTTATTCCATGTGCGGTGCATGCGCGCACGTGCTAATTTATGATGATTGTTCGTCGAGAATTGGCGCCGGTCGTAGAACAAGGCTGCGCTCCGCTTCTCTATTCTATTTCTCATTGTGCACCCGAGTATTAATCTATGGTCGTATTATTTGAGGAATAATTTGGTACAAGTACCCGCTATATGCCGTATTGTTGCGCGCGATGCTATTATATTGATTTCGAATTATTTCATAGTCGCCCGATGAAGTTATATAAAGCCAATGAAAATATAAGTAGATATTCTTGAAACATCTTACGATCAATTTCTAACATTACAATTTGGTTTTATTCTGTATATTTAATAATTTGTAAATATTAAAAAGATTAATATTTTTATCATACGTTTATATTAGGCAAAATTAAATGAAATTGAACAGCGTAATTTTTGATGTTTTAATAATAATAATTACTATTATTTTTATTATTATTACCTAAAATCTTTTTTTACTTTTGTATAAATATATTGGAAGGAAGCATATTTTTTTATTAATCAAATTGAAAAATAATATTTTTCTTATCTAACAAAGAACTTTTAATGAAAACTGCTTTAAAATGAAACGATGGTGAATCCTTGAATTCTCATGACTAGACTATGATGCAAAGCATGAGTTACCAAGTGAATGGCTTTGGACGATCGTATAATGAGCGTGATTTTTTGTGCAGGTGTTGGCGGCATCCTAGTTATGGGATTGGGTATTATAATTAGTGGTGTATTTATCTTGAGAGCGAAGCCTAACGCGAGGTTTGTCGCAGCCTGGATCGCCTTCACTGCGGTCGTTTACGCGATCGGCATGGGTGTATTGATGTTTATTGGTTGTCCGATGGACGATTTTGCAGGGCTCGTGTCACATTCTGACGGGTAAGGAAAATCTTCTCATGTCTAACAAAACTTAAAGTTGAATTAAATTAAGTTGAGAAAAATTTCACCGACACAAATAGCAATTATTATCTAACAAAATTTTTTTATTATTAATATTAATTCATATCACAGAAGGATGTTTGAAACAAAATTATAGCGTTTGTAAAAGTTTAAGTATCTTCGCATTCTTGAATTAAATGACACAAATCTATTTTACATTTTAATATTTAATATCTATTAACAATGTTTTCGAAAATTTGAGTCCATTGTTTGTAATATTACAAAAATTTCGCGGTTATTTCTTCGCGTAAACTTCGTATGTAAACGACGATGGTAGTCGATCGCTTAACAACAAAAAACAACATGTTTCAATGTATATCTTATTAGAATGCGCATCGTAAATATTGCATATATCGGAAACGCGTGAGAATTTTTCGCTTTCGCTTGTTACCAGTCTTATTTACAAATCAACAATATCTTTCAGTTTCTACAGATGTGTGCATTTTGAGTTCTTGCACTTGTTGTGATTTTGTTTAGTTTATAATACTTCATAAACGTTATATTATTTATAAAACATGAATAAAAAATCTAATGCATATTATATTCTTTAATGACTGGATTTTAATAATTTTGACAGTTTAATTGATTCTCATGCAGCGAGATACTATAAAAATAAATCCTTTACAATCTCTTATACACATTAATGTTATATCATAGAAAAATTATATAAAATTGCACAGGGAAAAAAGTTGATAATGTTTAATAATATATTTCGAATATATTATACTGGGATAATTTTTTTATGCGTATCTCCGCAGATTTGTATTAAATGATAAGCGATTAAGTTTAGCGAGTTTAAAGATCAGTTTAAAAAACCAAATCGACATTTTTGCAGACTTTCCAGCTTCGAGCCAATCTGTGAGGCTAGCTGCGACTGCGACCGAAATAAATTTAGTCCAATCTGTGGTGCGGATGGCAGAACGTATTTCTCCGCGTGTCATGCAGGCTGCTCGAATTATACGGTCGCCGACGGCAAAGTGGCATCGGTAAGTGCTAAGCCCAGTAGAAACAACACCCCGCAGGACATGGTCTGTGATGACATGTCTGTTTGAGCGAAATTACGCGGGATACGCGATAATAATTGAAACGGTCAGCTTGGAAACACCGTAGCAATTGTGAGTGTTGCCGAATCATTTCGGAGTACAATACAGAATTCTGGAGTTTTTTGAATAAAGTGAAATATTTAGTAACACATATATCATATTATTGTGCCTGTTATTATATTTATATTGTATCATATATCATTATCAAGATTAATTTTGAGTTATGTATGTCTCGGTTCTTTTTGATTTCTGAATATCAAAGTATTGTGTACGAATTTCTGAGCACACATACTTTCCAGATATTTTTATCATTATCTATCAATGTAGCAATGATAAAAATTTAAGTAAAGAAAAAAGATATTAATTCACATATATAAAATAATTTTAAAAATTTGGAATAAAAAATGCCAATAAATGAATAAATAGCAGATGACTGTGTGAATGTAATTATATTTTAGTAATTCAATTTTTTAACAATTATGTTTTTAGTATACGAGAAGCCTGACAAAATATGTCGCAAACTATCAAAAAATTATATTCTTTGATTTACGACTTTTCTCCTCTGATAATGTTATGTTTAATGTTTCGCAGTTTTATAATTGTCAATGCATCGAACACAACGTGACGATACCGGAAGCGTTCAGCACGGCGACCATCGGTTATTGTGAACTCGAGTGCAGCAACTTTTGGGTTTACATGATCCTGTTTTCGGTCTTCGTTTTTATCCATTCGACTAGCGAAGTAGGCTCCATGCTGCTTATTCTCCGATGTGTGGATCCCAGAGATAAGGCCATGGCGCTTGGTCTGATACAGTTCGCCATCGGATTATTTGGTAATTACTTGATAAAAAATATTATGTTCAAGGGAAATAGATATCGCAGCGTGTCCTTATTCAAGAACTTCGATTCAAGTAAAACGAAAAAATTAACGGCTGAAGTTTGATAAAATTTTCTTAGATTTAAGTTTCGAAAAGAGAAATATATTTTTTTAACATATAATGCAATGAATTGGTTTCGGATTAGTAGGATTAAAAAATAAAAATAAATTAATGTGAAAAATTGGTATAAAAAAATTAAAAAGAGAACTTTCTTTAGTGTGAAAAAATGTCTTGAAATTACCTTTTTAACAACATAGTATGCTTAATATATTCATTTCTTTACTTCAGGTAATGTCCCATGTCCTATCGTTTATGGTGCTGTGGTAGATTCCGCTTGTCTCGTATGGGAATACGCTTGCGGTGAGCGAGGCGCCTGCTGGCTTTACGATTCGAATGTATTTAGAATGTTCTATCATGGTAAGCATATTTTAAAAGAGAGATGTTTGAACCCTCCATTTATTGCGAATATTTAGATTCTAAGTAAGAGATTTCGATAATTATATTAATTATTCGAGTATATTTTAATTAATGTAGAATAATTTCTTTTTCAATTTGTTAGACGACTTGAAAAACTATTAATAAATAAATTAAAAACTGAGATTTGCGAGAGCAAAAGTGTATACTAGTAATACATAAAAGCGCGGTAATACGTGCAATATTATATATAAGATTGCGTACAAACATAGAGTTTGCGTAATAGCGCGAATATCTCTCGACAGGTACAACGGGCGGTATCCTCGTGTTGGCCTTCGTGGTGGATATAGTCGTCTGGTACAAGGCCGGGAGCATAAGCTTCGTGGAGGAGCAGGAGGGCGAGGAAGGTACCGCGGAGGAAATGGCGACGTTAAAATCGCAAGACGCTCAGACGATCGAGAATGACTATTTGTGAAGGTTTCGCATTACTCTTTGCGGTGAACGGGTCGTGGCCGATGCGTCGTCGTCATCGTCGTCTAAGGACTCAGTGCAGTGTCGTAGAATACATGGGGGCATCGTTCTTCGCGAAAAGTATACCGGAATAGAGATCGCCGTATGTTCCGGGGACGCAACGAAGGATCCACTTGATGATTACAAGTCAAGAAGGATCTTCTCTCGAATGAGTTCGTATCGACGAAAGTCTAGTCTCATTTCTCTCCTCGACAGTAGGAGACCGCCTCTCAGGACAATCAACGCTGGTGATGCGAATGTTTTTAATGTCCGCGCGCGCGAAAATCACAAGAGGACTGGTTGAAGTAGGTGAATGACGTGAACAATTACTCGCGAGAGAATTGCAATTGTTGAACGAGGAAGAAACAGATACAATTGCAAAGTTGAAGGAAGAACTAGAAGACTCAGAAGATTATGATTCAATTACGATGAGCAGGAAGAAGGATTGCATGACTTCTACGGAACAAGCACAATTACGTGAAGACGATACCGATTACTGCATCGCGAGATATTCTTGTAAGCATGGGAGAACTGTATGAAAGATTAGCTCTTGAGTTAACTCGGCAGTTATCATCAGATTCAGACATAAAAAATCATTTGATGACAGGAGAACGACAGAAATAATCATGCTCGAAAAGAGCTGACAAGAGCGACTTATTATATAGGTCTCCCCCAATCGCGTCTCGAAAAAGTTATAGTAAGGTTTCTCTCTCAGGGAGGGCTGTCAGTAAGTACACGCAATATAAAAAGTAATACTTCCGTGCCTACGAAACGACGGTGCTTGCGGCGAGCACGCGGGATTCGCTTCGACGGATCCGGAGAATCGAATCGAATCAAACCACATGGGCGGCCTCGCGGATAAACGCGGTTCGCGACAGTGAGGGATTGCATCGTGCGTTGCGCACCGGTGTTGATTAGTACGGCGTTCTCGTTGCTGCACGTTATCTAACGGTAACATTTACCGTGACGCGAAAGGAAACGCGGGGCACTACATGCCCTAACATAAGGCTGCAGCTTTTTTATTTATTTACTATATAGAATTTTGTTATAAAAGGGGTTCGTGAATGAAGAAAAACGTTAAGGAATCATTTGATGCTTCTAAATTCGAACAGCAACAATAAAAAAAGATTTATTGTGTTTAGTTATAAAATTATCAAATTTTTTAATTATCTTGATTATTATAAAATTTTTATTAAAAATTTTTTATTTTAAAAGATAGACAATTTTAAATATTGGGATATATAAATATTGGGATATAAATCCTTAAATATTAATATACATATTAGTATTATATAATACTAGTAGTAGTATAATATATAAGTATATATAATATATACACTTATATATTATAATACTACTAATGAATGTAAAGTATCAATTATTGAATTTCACTGTTTTGGAATTCAACAGAGACAGCTATTGGTTAGTTACTCCTAATTATTTATCGCAGCTATATTCAATTATGACATGAGATAAAAATTTTTGTTTCATTTATTAATGAATAGCTATCAACTCGATCAATAGTTTTGTAAAATAGAATATGCAATACTGAAAAATAAAATATAAAATATAGAATTGAATTATCATTAAAATATATATGTGTAGATTTAATTAATATATTTATTAACATAGAATAATAAAAGAAGAATTTCTTTGTTTTATCAATTTTTATGTCGAATATAAAAAAACTTTTAAATTATTTTGACATATAATGGAGGAAAAAATTTACATGATTTTTCGCTTCTGACATTATAATTTAATGCTGCAATAAAGAATTAGGAGTTTTAAGAATCTGTTATTCTTTTGGAACAGAGTTATAATTTAGGATTAATTGATGGACGTAAAAAGAAGCTTGCTGACATAGTAGAAAATTTTATCAATTATTATCTTCATAACAAAACTTGAGAATATTAATTTTATTTATTTACTAGAGTTTTAAAATACATTGTAATAATATTTTGATTCATATTTTGTTATCAAAAATATGTTTATTGCCATATTGCATTATATATAATGCATTTTAACTATATATACATAATGATAGATGTAGATTTGTGTCTCGAGAATCTTTACGTTAATCTGTTTTAGTATGATAAATGTAATATGTTAAACACCTTCAAAATTACTTTACGATTTATTTTTTTCAATGAAAAATTGTGCAAACAAACATTTTTAAAAAACTTACAATGTCTATAAAATCTAAATAAATAATTAAATAAGTAAAGGACTATATGAAACACCTGAAAACGTGATCAAAATAGATGATTACAAGTCAGAGGTTGAATATTTGCAGAAATATGTATTAACCGAAATGTTACGGTTATATATTAATAAATTATAGAATATTTAGAGGACATGAGATAATAATTTCTCAAATGTAGTAAGTTGAAGGCTCTCAGAATCTTTTTATATTTAACTGTTTAATTTAAATGTAAGATATTAGGGGTAATCTAAGAATCTAAGGCGCAAGTTATAAAATGTGCAATATTATTGAATGTAAAGTTGCAGAACAAAAAAGAACTGTATGTTTCTTCAATAAATCTATTACTTTTTTAATGTTAGAGTTTTAATTTAAGAATTGGTTGATCGCGCGCGTCAGATATATTTCAATTTAAATCGAAATGAATAAACACACGAGTTGATATGTTCCGTGTTTCCTTTTCAAAGGTAGCACATTGTTCGATCACACGGTGCGCATTACATTAGTTGCGATCATCTCCAAAAACGCGTAAGAAGAAAGAAAGGCGAGAAGAAAATACCGATCATTCTTTTCGATCAATCGTTATACGATAGGAAATGTCTTTCTTCTCGTGGATAATGCGCATAAAAAGTAAGCAAAGTACGCATATAATTATGTACGTGTAAGAGAAAGATGTATACTTGCGTATATAAGTGCGTGATTATGTTTAACAGTTTAAATCATCAATCTGGTCAATCAGTCTTCGACCGTTCATGAACGAACATCTGCGCTTTTAAGCTACGTGCCCGTGTGCTGCTTTAATCCTTGCGTATCCTCTTCCCGTCGAAACTTGGAAAGAATGCGATCATTATGATGATTGATGTGTGTCAAATTTTCACACAAATGTCTTGTGCAGATGGAAATTGTCCGTGAAAAGCATGACATAAGAGAAGCATCGCGAACGATATAAATCTAAACTACAAAGAGCAAATTTTAAATGCAAGAAAAAAAGAGTCTAAAAGAAAGAAAATTTTATAATTGTATTATAAATTATGTTATTATATATAATTAATATTTGTAATTAATATTAATATATAATACATTAATATATTATCATATATAAATAATTATATATTATAAATTTGTTTTTAATTCGAAAATCAAAATTGAAAAAAATATAGTTTGTACTATTTTATTCGTTGCGATATTATATGTTGAAATAAAATAACAATAAAATAGTGATTGATAATTATTATGAAAATATTTCAAGATAGAAGTAGATAAATAAATAGTTTCTTTTGCTATACAATATCATTGCATTTATAAATTTGTATGTAATTGTGCCTTTTTAAGAGCAAAATTACATGTGTTTTAGATCTATATTATTAGTTGCACTTTGAATACAAACAATATGCTTATTTAATGAATGATCAATTAAAAACTACAAGCTATAAAGATATTACTTAAATGCATACATCAATTATTGAAAAATCAGAAATGTAAGAATAGTAAAGTAATACGCGCTAAATACAATATGTCAAGGATTAATACAGCAACAATTACTTCCCAATATACTTCTCGTTATTGTTAAAACGAGTTCATTATTTATATTTTGATTTACGACTTTTATAAAATAATAAAAGAGTAATTGTTAAGCTCTGAGATGTTGACTATTGTTTTAACAATGATGCGCGATGTATGGACGAGATTCTAATATATGATAAATTTACAATGTACAATATTTTTATCTATGAAAGGGCTCGCATTTTTTTAACACGAGGTTTGACGCGCAGACGTTCGTGTTGAGCGGCTTGAGACATTTTCTTGTATGATTGGTTCTCGATTTGCATTAAAACGCATTATAAACGAAATTTTGCAAATGGAAACAAGTTTTCTAACTAGTTTATTTCCAGATTTCGCATGATATTCAAATTTATCTTTTAAATATATATTGATCAAAATAAATATTAATTACGTAAATATTGATTAAAATAATTTTTCATTTTTGATGTAAATATTACTTTAAAATATGAGAAATTATCATGTTATATAAAATTAATTGAATTATAAAATTATAAAATTATTTGAATTAAAATTCAAATTCAATTAGAATAAATTTTCAGTGAAATCACGAAAATTATAGACTTTAATTGTATTTAATCTTGAATTATATACGATTTTAAATTTGTCGAATTATTGAGAACGGATTTAATAATGCAAATCGAGATTTACATATATTTATGCATTTATTTTTGCTTTGCTTTTAAGTATAATATTCAAATACACATGCACATAAACATCCTCATATTCGGAACTCCTCTCGGATCTCGGATGACTTCTTAGACCATCACCCCCGTCCGTAAATTTTACGCTCTCATAAAGTATTACAATAGTAAACATTGGCATAGATATCTATAACATAATTATATATTTGTGATTTGAAAAATACTTTTCACGTAATGACTGGCAGAAGTCTCCAAGTGATGCGGAATGAAAAAAAGCGAAAAAGAGAAAGAGGAGAATGAAGAGAGATTGACGAGATCGAAAGTGAATATACATGCGATATATTTTTAAAAATATGTGTCATATGCATTGTTTTGCTTTCGATCTCTAAATAATTTAAAGAAAACAGAAGAAAAAGAGATAAAACAAAAAGTAATACCAATTATTATTATTATTATTATTATTGCACTAATGCAATAGGTTGAAACAGCACAGCCAGAGGATGCGAATACACACATACATATACACACATTCAAAGAGACAAATGAAGAGTTTAAAAAAGCTGTATTTTAATATGATACACTTTACACGCCGTTATGAAACACGCTCATGAATGACTGATTGTCTAAATGCTTTTTAGTGCTTCGCACATTTTCTGCAGCAATGAAAGAGGACATCGTCTCACATTAGTAATATGCGTTTTCCGTGTCCACGTAGAGAATTGCTTGTAGTCAGCGTATATGCGAAAAAGAAGAGCAGATGAAAAGAACGCGCATTTAGAGAGAAATTGCGCAATGATTAATTGAGAATATTGGAAACATTCTTTGCGTGAAAAAGGGAGAACATATTTGAAATATTAGCAATCCAAACAAAATGATTGATTAAATTGCTTGATGATTAACTGATTAATTGCTTGAAGAATATTCTAAAATAGAAAAAATTATTTAGATGTTGGATAATTTTCTTTTAATGTAAGTTATCGGAAATTAAATAATTTTTTTATATTTGAAAAAAAATATATGAATATATGTATATAAATTAAATTTTGAACTGATTGTTTGTGTGATTGTCAATTCAAATCTATTCTCTCTTTTTCACGTACGGTCGGCTTTCCGGTTCGATCGATCTTGTCGATGGTTATTAACCTTTAAACACAGACGTAGTTTAAAGTTGTACCATCATGAACCTACTTCATAGACTATTCAATTTTTAAAATTTATTATTCTTTCACATATTTATATGTAAATTTCATTTTTTACATATGCATCTTTTTGTTACGATTTTCGTTCTCTTTCTAAATATGGCATATGAATTTTTATCATATCTTTTCATTTGCAGGAATTGTTTGTGTTTAAGGGTTAACTCACTTGAACTTTGCAGTTTAGCATGATAAACGGGAAATATATTTTTGGAGAATTTTATGTTTAGGCAGTTATGTGTGTACTTTTCTATTGATCCCGAGAACCGGAATGTCGTCCACGAGGCACGAAAACAGGCTTTGGATACGCTGTTTTATGTGAAAATGAAGATAGTTGAGAAAGCCGAGAATCAACATACATATATATATATATATATATATATATATATGTGTGTGTGTGTGTGTGTGTGTGTGTGTGTATGTGTGTGTGTGTGTGTGTGTATATATATATAGATATATATACACACACATATATATATAATTATTATTGTACAATATTATTTTACTACTTATATTA